GCACTTTGGGAGGCCGAGGCGGGTGGATCACGAGGTCAAGAGATTGAAACCATCCTGGTCAACATGGTGAAACCCCGTCTCTACTAAAACTACAAAAAATTAGCTGGGCATGGTGGTGCGTGCCTGTAGTCCCAGCTACTCAGGAGGCTGAGGCAGGAGAATTGCCTGAACCCAGGAGGCAGAGGCTGCGGTGAGCCGAGATTGCGTCATTGCACTCCAGCCTGGGTAACAAGAGCGAAACAGCGTCTCAAAAAAAAAAAAAAAAAAAAAGTAAACAATATAATGTGAAATAAGTTAAAAAAAGAAAGTTATTCCAAAAAGTGATCCTTTCTGGGCAATATAAAAATATGTAGACTATTAATAAAGCTGACTGTGTGAGGAGCTTGTTACATACATATTTCTGAGCCCCCACACTCAAGGATTCAGGGATTCTCATTCAGGCATCCCCCAGTCCCCATCCACATACACCCAGCCAGGTTTTTGCTTTTATTTTTTTTTGAGGAGGAGTCTTGCTCTGTTGTCCAGGCTAAAGTGCAGTGGTATGATCTTGGCTCACTGCAACCTTTGCCTCCCAAGTTTGAGTGATTCTTCTGCCTTAGCCTTCCAAGTAGCTGGGATTACAGGTGTGCACCACCACACCCAGCTAATTTTTTTTTTTTTTTTTTTTTTTGGATTTTTAGCGGAGATGGGGTTTTGCCATGTTGGCCAGGCTGGTCTTGAACTCCTGACCTCAGGTGATCCACCCACCTTGGCCTCCCAAAGTGCTGGGCTTACAGGTGTGAGCCACCGCGCCCTGCCACCCAGGCTAATTTTTATGCACAGCCTAGTTTCTACCATTTGGGGGCACCTTTGAGAATTTGATGTAAACTGTGGATCCTCACCCCCGAAAACCCAATGGACACACCAAAGCCTGGGTAGAACTTGGAGGGGAGGAGTGGTCCATAACTCCAGCTAAGAGGAAAGATGAGAGGTCACCTCCCCTCATTTCCTCTTGTTTCTATTTATTCTCTGAAGGCCCCTTCCTCCCGTTCCCTAAAGGTTGAGACCCCTTGCCAGGCAGAACAGGCTCCCCCCAGGTCCTTGCTGAGGTTGGCGCCCCTCCCTTTTGTGTTACTGTGCGGGTCACTGCTGAGGGCTGCGGGCAGTAGTCGGCAGGGTGGTGGCCCTGACACCTGCTCTGAGAACCTGCCTGTGCTGCATGTGGGGCACTTCCTGCCCCCCACCGTCCCCGCTGCAGGACAGCTCTTGGGTCACCCTGAGGTTTCTGCCTTCTCCGCACTCTCCCTGCTTCTGGTCCAGAGGAAGCAAGCTGCCTCTGGCTGCACAAGGCTAATGATGCTGCCTCAGTGTTCTCACCCTCTGTCTTGTTACCATCAGCCGCAAAAGTCCCCCACGTGTGCACGCAGTGCAGCTCCACTGTTGCATGAACGCTGCCCTGGGCCCTGGAATGAGACAGGAATGGGGTCGGAGTCGTGGCGATGTGTTGGAAGGTGGGCTGTAGGCAGTATCATAAACTTGAGGACCCCAAGAACAGTTGACTAACAGACTTCCTTTTTTTTTTTTTTAAATTTTTATTTTAAGATGGAGTCTCACTCTGTCTCCCAGGCTGGAGTGCGGTGGCCCAATCTTGGCTCATTGAAACCTCCGCCTCCTGGGTTCAAGCAATTCTTCCGCCTCAGCCTCCCGAGCAGCTGGGACTACAGGCACCCACTACCAAGCCCGGCTAATTTTTTTTTTTTTTTTTTTTTTTTGAGACAGAGTTTCGCTCTTGTTACCCAGGCTGGAGTGCAATGGCGTGATCTCGGCTCACCGCAACCTCCACCTCCTGGGTTCAGGCAATTCTCCTGCCTCAGCCTCCCGAGTAGCTGGGATTACAGGCACGCACCACCATGCCCAGCTAATTTTTTGTATTTTTAGTAGAGATGGGGTTTCACCATGTTGACCAGGATGGTCTCGATCTCTTGACCTTGTGATCCACCCGCCTCGGCCTCCCAAAGTGCTGGGATTACAGGCGTGAGCCACTGTGCCCAGCCTGTTTTTGTTTTTTTTTAATTTTTTCTTTTTTAAAAAGATGGGGTTTCACCATGTTGGTCAGGCTGGTCTTGAACTCTCGACCTCAGGTGATCCGCCCTCCTTGGCCTCCAAAGTGCTTGGATTATAGGCGTGAGCCACCATGCCTGGCCTAATTTTTGTATTTTTAGTAGAGATGGGGTTTCACCATGTTGGCCAGGCTGATCTTGAACTCCTGACCCCATGATCCACCCACCTTGGCCTCCCAAAGTGTGGGATTACACAAAGTGTGAGATTACGCCAGGCCCAGACTTCCTCTTTTTGTGTGTGCCTCCAAAAGCCAGGGACTACTCAGGCAGTGGACAGTTGCATAGCTTCTAAGAGAAAAAGGCAGTCAGGAAGTGTCAGGTCCATTTGGGAAGAGATGTCCATGGCCTTGGCCACCAGGTGGCATCACTGACCCTTCTGGAGGAGCAGTGTGTCTGGGAAGTCATATCCATTTACAGCCCCCATCCCCCACCATCCTCCCCAGCTTCCTGTCCAGGACCAGGGCCCAGCCTTTCACCAGCAGGTCTGGTGCCCTGAACCCGAGGCACTGGCCCTACCTGCTCCCCTCTTAGTCCTCATGTGTCCTCAGTCCTGCCCAGAGAAGCACCTCATTTCTTTTTTTTTTTTTTTCCTGAGACGGAGTTTCGCCCTTGTTGTCCAGGCCGGAGTGCAATGGCACAATCTCAGCTCACCACAACCTCCACCTCCAGGGTTCAAGTGATTCTCCTGCTTCAGCCTCCCGAGTAGGGATTGCAGGCATGTGCTACCACGCCTGGCTGATTTTGTATTTTTCGCAGAGATGGGGTTTTGCCATGTTGGCCAGGCTGATCTCAAACTCCTGACCTCAGGTGATCCACCTGCCTTGGCCTCCCAAAGTGCTGGGATTACAGGTGTGAGCCACCACACCTAGTCAGAGCACCTCATTTCTGTTGCCCATCACAGCTCCTCTTGGCTTTACTGCTCAGCAGCGATGGGACGAAGGGGGGAACACACGGCAGGACAGGCTCCTCTTGGCCTTGGCATAATAAACAGAAAATCCACACGTTTTCCTTACTTTTAATATCTAAGATAAAAAAACCCAACCACCAAAACAATCCATTTGCATGTCAGCGACACGCCTGGTCTCAGGCTCCCTTTCCAGGGCTGTCCTCCCGGCAGCTCCCAGGCCCTCATCCTGGGGAGAGCCCATTCTCGGCCGGAAGCCACCATGGCCTCCAGCTCGGCACCGAGACAACCTGGGACCCAGCCTTGCAGGAAGGCCACCAGGAACTGTTTTTAAAGCATGTGGCCGCACAAGGAGGAAGTTTTCCCTTGAGGTTGAGCTGAGAGTTATTTCTTGTGGAGAAATTTCATTTTATTGCCTAAAAGAAAGAAAATGAGAACATTTCACAGGGCAAGGGACGGTGACATCAGTCTTGCCCCTTTCACCCAGAAGTGGTGTGGGTAACGGGGCCCCCACGCCGCCCCAGGGAGCCTCATCCCTTGCTCTGGAGAAACCGAAGGGGGTGTTCTTTCCAGAGATTCCCCTGTGGTCTTCCTCAGACTTGGGGGTGTTTGAAAGGAAGACCATCAGAGCTGTTTAGGAGGGCTGGCTTCTGCTCTGGTAGTAAAGGAAGCACTGAATCAACACATCACTCAGGAGCCAAGGGAAGAGAAAGTGCACAGCAATGTGTGTATATTTAAAACACTCCTCTTCCAGGCAGCCCTCCGTCCTGCAGGAGGCACAGACATGGCACCCTTGCAGGCCCTGTGGGAGGGCCTCACTGCTGCAGACGCTTCCCTACTGGGGCCTCCGTCCTGTTTTCCTGTTGTCTTCTTCATCCACCCTTTCCCTGTCAGTGCCTCTTTACTGATTAAACTGCAGTCCTTGTAAGTCTCACATTTCTACTTTCCAGGGGAATTTTGGACACCAGTGCGAGTCTTTGTTGCCAGACATCCTTGTCGGGTTCCCACCATGCTCCCTTGGCTCAGTTCCCCTGAGGTTTTAGAGTGTAGATCATGGAGAAAGAAGATAGCAAGAAAGCCCAGGGGCCCAGAAAAAGGGGGTGCTGGGGGCACTGCTTCCTTTGTTTCCTCTTTGGGGACAGATGAGAACCGGGAGTTAAAATGCCCGTAGCATCTGCCCAGGGCAGGCCGTAGGGCTCTGTGTTATTCAGGGTGCTGGCTCCAGTGGAGGGAACTGGCTGGGACTCCGTGATAGACAGCTCAGAGGCACGAGGGCTGGGGACCCAGAGCCCGGGGCCTTACCTAGTCCCTTCAGGAACTTATTGACGCCGCTGTGCTCGCCACTGGGGAGGGTTTCCAGATACTCTTGGGCTCGGACCTCAAACAGACCTGTTAACCAGAGAAATCCCAGCCATTTTAGGTCTTGGTCTTTGCATGTCTAAACGTGTCCATTTCCTCCCTACCAGAGAAAACAGAAACCTTCTTCCTGAGAGTAAGCTGCTCCCATAAACATGCTGTGAATCAGGAGATGTATAAGGGTTTTACTGCCCTTATCGTTGCCCCACCTGTGCAGTAACTGTCTTTGGAAGGCTGTAAAGTCACCTCCTAGATAAAATCCTATTTTTATTCAACAAACGCCTTCCAAGCGTCTACACTGTGCCAGGCAGGTGTTTTTTTAATTTTTTTTTTTTTTTTTAAAGACGAGGTTTCACCATGTTGGTCAGGCTGGTCTTAAACTCCTGACCTCAGGTGATCCGCCCGCCTTGGCCTCCAAAGTGCGTGGATTACAGGCGTGAGCCACCACGCCCGGCCGTGGCAGGCGGTTTTAAAGATGAACCATACTGATCTGGCTCAGGAGTGCCCATGTGCTGCCATTTCCCTGTATTCTCCCAAAAGAGGGCCCTGGCCAGGTGGCTTAGTTTTCCCGGAGTCCCTCTGTGGAGGGAGGATAGCTGGACAGGCCAACTCCTAGGCAGCTTCAGACCCCTAGGGTCTGAGGTTCGGGCACTCTGTCTTCACTGCTGACTGATCTTTCATGGACAGAGGATTTTTTTTTTTTTTTTTTTTTTTTTATTTTTGAGTTTTGCTCTTGTCACCCAGAATGGTGTGCAACCTCCATCTCCTGGGTTCAAACGATTTTCCTGCCTCAGTTGCCCGAATAGCTGGGATTACAGTTACCTGCCACAATGCCCAGCTAACTTTTTTTGTATTTTTAGTAGAGACAAGGTTTTATCATGTTGGTCAGGCTGGTCTTAAACTCCTGGCTTCAGGTGATCCACCCGCCTCAGTCTCCTAAAGTGCTGGGATTACAGGCATGAGCCACTGCGCCAGCCTTTTTTTTGGAGACAGAGTTTAGCTGTGTTGTCCAGGCTGGAGTGTAATGGCTGGATCGCGACTCTCTGCAAGCTCTGCCTCCCGGGTTCAAGCGATTCTCCTGCCTCAGCCTCCTGAGTAGCTGGGATTACAGGCGTCTGCCACCAGACCTGGCATTTTTGTATTTTTAGTAGAGACAGGGCTTTACCAAGTTGGCCAGGTTGGTCTCGAACTCCTGCCCTGAGATGACCTGCCTGCCTAGGCCTCCCAAAGTGCTGGGATTACAAGCGCACGCCACTGCACCTGGCCTTTTCCAGGTAGGTTTTTTTTTTTCCTGAGATGGAGTTTCACTCTTGTCGTCCAGGCCGGAATGCAATGGCACAATCTTGGCTCACTGCAACCTCTGCCTCCTGGGTTCAAGTGATTCTCCTGCCTCAGCCTCCTGAGTAGCTAGAATTATAGGTATGCGCCACCACACCCGGCTAATTTTTGTATTTTTAGTAGAGATGGGGTTTTACCATGTTGGTCAGTCTGGTCTCGAACTCCTAACCTCGTGGTCTGCCCACCTTGGCCCTCCTAAAGTGCTGGGATTAAGGTGTGAGCCACCAGGCCTGGCCTCCAGGTAGCTTTTAAGCTTGTGTGTCTCCCACCTCTCTTACCAAGTGATCGGTAAAGAGATATTTAAATGTATCTGGGAGATCTATTAATATTTAAAACACTCCTTTGGCAGGTGCCTCCTGTAACTCATACTCTCCAATCAGCTTTTCCTTTTTTTTTTGAGATGCAGTCTCACTCTCCCAACCAGGATGGAGTACAGTGACATGATCTCGGCTATTGCAACCTTCACCTCCCAGACTCAAGTGATCCTCCCACCTCAGCCTCCGAGTAGCTGGGACCACAGGTGCACACCACCATGCCGGTCTAATTTTTTAAAATATTTTTTGGGCCGGGCGCAGTGGCTCAAGCCTGTAATGCCAGCACTTTGGGAGGCCGGGGCAGGTGGATCACGAGGTCAAGAGATCGAGACCATCCTGGTCAACATGGTGAAACCCCATCTCTACTAAAAATACAAAAAATTAGCTGGGCATGGTGGTGCGTGCCTGTAATCCCAGCTACTCAGGAGGCTGAGGCAGGAGAATTGCCTGAACTCAGGAGGCAGAGATTGCGGTGAGCCGAGATTGCGCCATTGCACTCCTGCCTGAGTAACATGAGTGAAACTCCGTCTCAAAAAAAAAAAAAAAAATATATATATATATATATATATTTTTTTTTTTGTAGATAAGGGGTTGCGCCATGTTGTCCAAGCTGGTCTCAAACTCCTGACCTCAGTGATCTGCATGCCTCGGCCTCCCAAAGTGCTGGGATTACAGGTGTGAGTCACCTACTACACCCAGCCTGAGAATTTCACCAATTTGGAAAGAATTTGATAGAAGGAGACCTTGCGATAGACGCTGGAGTGTGGTTCTGGGAGAGGCCAGCAGAGGGAACAGAGAAGGCAGGGGAGGAGGCCTTTCCACCAGCTCAGTCAGGGCATGCCTGCAAGCTCTCCAGGGGGATGGGGACGCTGTCCTGTCTGTGCCCTTGCCCTGTGATCTTTCTCCCTGCTCATCAGCCACCTGGAATATGGGCACCTCTAGCTGACTCGGCGCCAACAGAGAAGACACCCCTAACCTTTGACATCCTGCCGGCGCAGCTCCCGCTCCTGGATGAAGCCTCGGAACATCTGAGTCTCCATGAAGACCTCTAGGAAGCGGCGGAGACTCTTGGAGGAGACAGCTTTGCGGAAGGCATCCCGCTGCAGGGTTCTCTCCTCGCGCTCGCCCAATGTCAGGAACAAGGAGTAGTGTCCCACAATCTCCACGAAGAAGCGGACAAAGGCTTCAGACACTACCTCATTCAAGGGGCTGGACTCTGGACCTGAGTAAGGGGAGGAAGGGCTAGGAACGGTGAGGACTGACAGGCCGGGCCACACCAATTAGTAATCAAAATACAGTAACTAACTGCCAGTTCCCTCGATGGAAACTGTGATTATCCAGGAGGGAGGTTACCTTAGGTTACTAAGACATTTCTTTCCCCACTTAATTTTTTAGAGACTGGGTTTCTTCATGTTGGCCAGGCTGGTCTGGAACTCTCCACCTCAGGTGATCCTCCTGCCTTGGCCTCCCACCACGCCCGGCCTCCACTAAATTTTTTCAATTAAAAAACTTTTTGTTTTTTTTTGAGATGGAGTCTCGCACTGTCTCCCAGATGGCAGTGCAGTGGCATGATCTCGGCTCACCGCAACCTCCGCCTCCTGGGTTCAGGCAATTCTCCTGCCTCAGCCTCCTGAGTAGCTGGGACTACAGGTGTGCGCCACCATGCCCAGCTAATTTTTTTGTATTTTTAGTAGAGATGGGATTTCACCATGTTTGCCAGGATGGTCTCGATCTCCTGACCTTGTGATCTGCCCCCAGCCTCCCAAAGTGCTAGGATTATAGGCATGAGCCACCTCGCCTGGCCTAAGTTTAAATTTTTTAAAAAGTTATTTATTTATATATTTTTGAGATGGAGTCTTACTCTGTCACCCAGGCTGAGACAATCCTGGCTCACTGCAACCTCTGTCTCCTGGGTCAAGCAATTCCTCTGCCTCAGCCTCCCAAATAGCTGCAATTATTCGTGTGTACCATCACACCCAGCTAATTTTTGTCTTTTTATTTTTTTCATTTTTATGGAGAATGGGGGTCTCACTATATTGCCCACGTAGGACTCGAACTCCTGGGCTCAAGCTATCCTCCTGCCTCTGCCTCTCTAAGAGCTGGGATTACAGGCGTGAGCCACAGGGCCCAGAACACCCAACTAATTTTTGTATTTTTAGTAGAGATGGCGTTCCACCATGTTGGCCAGGCTGGTCTCGAACTCTTGACCTCAAGTGATCCGCCCACCTCGGCCTCCCAAAGTACTGGGATTACAGGCGTGAGTCACTGCACCTGGACTTTTATATTTTTTTTGAGATGGAGTCTTGCTCTGTCATGCAGGCTGGAGTGCAGTGGTATGATCTTAACCCACTGCAACCTCTTCCTCCTGGGATCAAGCGATTCTCCTGCCTCAGCCTCCCAAGTAGCTAGGATTACAGGCATTTGTCACTACTTCCAACTAATTTTTTTTTTTTTTTTGAGACGGAGTTTCACTCACGTTACCCAGGCTGGAGTGCAATGGCGCGATCTTGGCTCACCGCAACCTCCGCCTCCCGGGTTCAGGCAATTCTCCTGCCCCAGCCTCCTGAGTAGCTGGGATTACAGGCACGCGCCACCATGCCCAGCTAATTTTTGTATTTTTAGTAGAGACGGGGTTTCACCATGTTGACCAGGATGGTCTCGATCTCTTGACCTCGTGATCCACCCGCCTCGGCCTCCCAAAGTGCTGGGATTACAGGCATGAGCCACCGCGCCCGGCTCCAACTAATTTTTATATTTTCAGTAGACACCTGGTTTCACCATGTTGGCCAGGCTGGTCTTGAACTCCTGACTTCAGGTGATCCACTTGCCTTGGCCCCCCAGTGTGCTAGGATTATAGGCATGAGCCACCACGCCTAGCCACAGTTTTTAATTTTTGATTTTTTTGAGATGGGGTCTTACTCTGTTGCCCAGGCTGGAGTGCAGTGGTGTGGCTCATGGCAGCCTCAACCTCCTGAGCTCAAGGGATCCTCCTGCCTCAGCCTCCCGAGTAGCTGGGACCACGGGCATGTGCCACCATGCCCAGATAATTTCCACACACCCCTGTTAAACAGGTACTTTAGGGCCAAAATGGGGAGGTGGGAAAATCTTTCCCACAATTCATAGTGAGAATGAAATCCAGACAAAGAAAATGAGGCCGGGGTTTCTCTCCTTATGTCTCTCTCACCCATGTTCCTACTTGGCCCAGAACCAAGAGGAAGGGAGGGCACTGCCCATTTGTTCCCAGACCCTGAGAGTGGAAGGGAGGGACACATGGGAGGTGGCTGAACACTTACCGTGCCTGCCTTCCAGGGGCCCTTCATCCTGCTCACAGGCCAGCTCGTTCCTCTGTTCCAGAATGCGTTCCAGGGCCACCTGAAGCTTCCGGGGCAGGATGGAGTCCTCATCATCCATCTGGAAAGCAGAAGCAGCAGGTGGGCTTGTGGATGGTGGCTGTGTCCAGGCCGCAGGTCACACTGGCAGTGCAGGCCTGGCTCAGTCCCCAGTTTCATGGAAGGAATACAACTGAGAGCCAGAGGTCTGAGGTTTGAATCTTGAGCCTACTTTTTTTTTTTTTTGAGATAGAGTTTCGCTCTTGTAGCCTAGGCTGGAGTACAATGGCGTGATCTTGGTTCACTGCAACCTCCGCCTCCCAGGTTCAGGCAATTCTGCCTTAACCTCCCGAGTAGCTGGAACTACAGGTGCATACCACCACACTGGGCGAATTTTTTTGTATTTTTAGTAGAGATGGGGTTTCACCACGTTGGCCAGGCTGGTCTCAAACTCCTAACCTCAGGTGATCCGCCCAGCTTGGCCTCCCAAAGTGCTGGGCTTACAGGCATGAGCCACTGTGCCTGGCCTACTTTTTTTTTTTTTTTGAGACGGAGTTTCGCTCTTGTTACCCAGGCTGGAGTGCAATGGCACGATCTCGGCTCACCGCAACCTCCGCCTCCTGGGTTCAGGCAATTCTCCTGCCTCAGCCTCCTGAGTAACTGGGATTACAGGCACGTGCCACCATGCCCAGCTAATTTTTTGTATTTTTAGTAGAGACGAGGTTTCACCGTGTTGACCAGGATGGTCTCGATCTCTTGACCTCGTGATCCACCCGCCTCGGCCTCCCAAAGTGCTGGGATTACAGGCGTGAGCCACCGCGCCTGGCCCACTTTTTTTTTTTTTTTAATTTGGAGACAAAAGTTTTACTCTTGTAGTCTAGGCTGGACTGCAATGGCGCGATCTTGGCTCACTGCAACCTCTACCTCCCAGGTTTAGGCAATTCTCCTGCCTCAAGCCCTCGAGTAGCTGGAACTACAGGCACATGCCATCACGCCTGGCTAATTTTCTTGTATTTTTAATAGAGACGGGGTTTCACCATGTTAGCCAGGCTAGTCTCAGACTCCTAACCTCAACTGATCTGCACGCCTTGGCCTCCCAAAGTGCTGGGATTACAGGCGTGAGCCACTTCACCAGGCTAAGCCTACTTTTTACAAGCAACGGGGAGGCTCATTTTCCCCACTTGTAAAATGGACAACCAATCAATCTGTGTACTTTGTTGTGAAGCTAAAATGCAGTACAATTACCCTGTGAAAGGGCTTGGCACTGAGAGGATATTCAATACATAATTTCCACTTCCCCATCCTGTAGGGTAGCCAGTGCTAACCAGGGGATTCTGGCCAGGGCAGACGGCCTGCGTGACCCAAGGCTGGCTTGGGATCAAACCCCGTCTCTACTAAAAATACAAAAATACACACACACACACACAAAATTAGCTGGGCGTGGTGGCGCATGCTTATAATCCCAGCTACTTGGGAGGCTGAGGCAGGAGAATCACTTGAATCTGACAGGTGGAGGCTGAAGTGAGCTGAGGTTGCAGTGAGCCAAGATTGCACCATTGCATGGCAGCTTGGGCAACAGGAGCAAAACTCCATCTCAAAAAACAAACAAACAAAACACAAACCAGCATTAATGCTACTAAACTTTTTAGCAACGTGGCAACATTTAGAAGTAATCCATCAGAATGCCCAGAGAAATTTTCTGTAATTACTTTAGTTACTTCTTGCAAGATCTGATAGAAGTTAGGCCTCTTGGGCCAGGTGTGGTGGCTCACGCCTGTAATACCAGCAGTTTGGAAGGCTGACGCGGGCGGATCACCTGAGGTCAGGAGTTCAACACCCACCTGACCAACATGGTACAACCCTGTCTCTACTAAAAATACAAATTTAGCTGAGTGTGGTGGCGCATGCCTGTAATCCCAGCTACTTAGGAGGCTGAGGCAAAAGAATTGCTTGAACCCAGGAGGCGGAGGTTGCAGTGAGCCTAGATTGTGCCACTGCACTCCAGCCTGGGCAACAGGGCGAGACTCCATCTCAAATAAATAAATAAATAAATAAGAAGAAGTTAGACCTCTCTAGCAAATGATAAAAAGAAAATAGATGTGTGTGGGCCAGGCGCGGTGGCTCATGCCTGTAATCCCAGCACTTTGGGAGGCTGATGTTGGCAGATCACGAGGTTAGGAGTTCAAGTTCAGCCTGGCCAACATGGTGAAACCCTGTCTCTACTGAAGATATAAAACATTAGCTGGGCATGGTGGCGCGCGCCTGTAGTCCCAGGCCGAGGCAGGAAAATAGCTTGAACCTGGGAGTTGGAGATTGCAGTGAGCCAAGATTGTGCCACTGTACTCCAGCCTGGGTGACAGGGCGAGACTCTCAGAAAAAAAAAAAAAAGAAAATATATGTGTGTTACTTACTTCCTCTGCTAATGGAACTAACTGATGATGATTATCAAAATATATGAATGTACTAAAACAATTTAAAATCATTCATAATCTGTCTCCTTTCAGTCTCCCTCCCCAAGACAAGCATTAATGTTTTAGTGAGTTTTCCTTTTTTTTCCCCTCTTTTTCTCTCCTTTTTTTTCTTCAGGAAAGGGTTTCACTCTATCACTCTGACTGAAATACAGTGGCATGATCTCAACTCACTGCAGCCTTGACCTCCCAGGCTTAAGCAATCCTCCTGCCCCAGCCTCCTGAGTAGCTGCTGGGACTACAGGTGCACACCAGCAAGCCTGGGTAATTATTTTATGTATATATGTATTTTTTTTTTTTTGAGACGGAGTTTCGCTCTTGTTACCCAGGCTGGAGTGCAATGGCGCCATCTCGGCTCGCCGCAACCTCCACCTCCTGGGTTCAGGCAATTCTCCTGCCTCAGCCTCCTGAGTAGCTGGGATTACAGGCACGCGCCACCATGCCCAGCCAATCTTTTGTAGTTTTTAGTAGAGACGGGGTTTCACCGTGTTGACCAGGATGGTCTCGATCTCTTGACCTCGTGATCCACCCGCCTCGGCCTCCCAAAGTGCTGGGATTACAGGCGTGAGCCACCGCTCCCGGCCAATATATATGTATTTTTTTGAGATGGAATTTTGCTCTTGTTGTCCAGGGTGGAGTGTGCAATGGTGTGATCTCGGCTCACTGTAACCTCTGCCTCCCGAGTTCAAGCGATTTTCCTGCCTCAGCCTCCTGAGTAGCTGGGATTACAGGGATGTGCCACCATGCCTGGCAAATTTTGTATTTTTAGTAGAGACAGGGTTTCTCCATGTTGATCAGGCTGGTCTGCAACTACCAACCTCTGGTGATCTGCCCGCCCCGTTCCCCCAAAGTGCTGAGATTACAGGTGTTGAGCCACCGTGCCTGGCTATTTTTAAATTTTTTAAAAAATTTATTTATTTATATATTTTTTAGATGGAGTTCCACTTTGTCTCCCAGGCTGGAGGGCAATGGTATGATCTTGGGTCACTGCGACCTCTGCCTCCCAGGTTTAAGCGATTCTCCTGCCTCAGTCCCTCGAGTAACTGGGACTACAGGTACGTGCCACCATGCCCAGCTTTTTCGTATTTTTAGTGGAGACAGGGTTTTGTCATGTTGGCCAGGCTGGTCTCGAATTCCTGACCTCAGGTGATCCCCTGGCCTCAGCCTCCCAAAGTGCTGGGATTACAGGCATGAGCCATCGCGCCCAGCCAATGTTACAAGTGTTTTGTAGAGACCAGGGTCTCACCATGTTGTTCCAGGCTGGTCTTTAACTCCTGGGCTCAAGTGATCCTCCTGCCTCAGCCTCTGGAGGTGCTGGGATTATAGGTTTGAGACACCAGGCTGGGCCAAATATTATTTAAATGCATGTTGAAGCTGGGCATGGTCATGCACGCCTCCAGCTACTCAGGAGGCTGAGGTGGCAAGATCACTTGAGGTCAGGAGTTTGAGACCAGCCTGGGCAACATAGTGAGATCCCATCTCTCTCTTTTTTTTTTTTGAGATGGAGTCTCATTCTGTCACCCAGGCTGGAGTGCATGGTGCGATCTCAGCTCACTGCAATTTCTGCCTCCTGGTTTCAAGCAATTCCCCTAAGCCTCCAGAGTAGCTGGGACTACAGGCCCCCACCACCACGCCTGGCTAACTTTTATATTTTTAGTAGAGACAGGGTTTCACCACATTAAGCAGGCTGGTCTCGAACTCCTGACCTCAAGTGATCCACTCATCTCAGCCTCCCAAAGTGATATGATTATAGGCGTGAGCCACTGCACCCAGCTTTTTAAAAAATTAAAAAGCATATTGAAAAATGGAGGTGCCTATAGTTATAAGATTACAAAGATTCTTTTTCTAATTGTTAGAAAACCATTTTGTGTCAGAACACATGAACATCAATCCTTTGCCCAAACCCTTCCTCTTTGCCCCTTGCCTTCTGGCATGTCCTCAGCCTAGCTCAGTCCTGGGGTCACACAGCTCTGCCACCCTGCTCTGCAATCCCATAGAGCCTTTCCAAGGCTGGAGAGCTGAGCCCCCAACAACAAATAGGTAAAGACAAAGGGAGCAGGAGGCCGCCACTGGCCTTTTCACTCACCTGTCTGAGGAACCGGCTATTGACGAGGTCAACCACAAGGACCTGTGAGATGAGAGGAAAGGGGCTGTTACCGTCTCCAGGGCTTCTGGGATAGGGATGGACTCTTAGCCATCTTCCTTCCTGGCACCCAGAGAGGCAGCTGGGGCGGGGCTGGGGGTGAGCCATTTGTGGTTTCTTGATATTTACACCGTAGCCACAGATGGTGAAGAGGGACTAGGGAGGGTCTTTTCTGAACTGCATGCTTTCTTTTTTTTTTCTTTTTTTTTCTTTTATTGAGATGGGGTCTTGCTCTGCCACCCAGGCTGGAGTGCAGTGGTTGATCTCAGCTCACTGCAACCTCCGCCTCCCAGGTTCAAGCTATTCACCTGCCTCAGCATGCTGAGTAGCTGGGACTACAGGCATGTGCCACCACACCCGGCTGATTTTTGTATTATTAGTAGAGATGGGGTTTCACCATATTGGCCAGTTTGGTCTTGAATTCCTGACCTCGTGATCTGGCATGAGCCACTGTGCCTGGCCACTGAATGCTTTCAACACTGACACCGCAGCCTGGGACGCATGTGTGCTGTGGGTGGGACTCCCTGGCTGGCTCTCACCCTGGCTGAGGCAGAGCTTCTCAGGCTGCTTTTTGGGTGTGGGCTACTGAGGTGGGCAAAAGACACTGCAGGCCTCCGTGGTTCCCACCCGAGGGCCCCTGCCTGGTCCTTCCCCCAGCTCCCCACTTAGCCGTGTCATTTCTCTCCAGGGGAGAGGAGGAGAGAAACTCACCTGGAGACTGGGTTAGGCTTTGGGTTTTCATTGCTGAAGGCTTTTGGGATAAAGCATTCCCCTCCCCCCCACCCCCCCACGGCGCTGCACTCCTCAGAGTGAGAATGAGACCTGGGGCCAGGACCAGGGTGGGGCAAGTGACGTGCCTAGGAAGCAAAGGTCACAGGCACGAGACCCTCACTCAGATGCCAGCCAAGATCACTGGCCATAATGGGGGAGGAGCCAGGGGCCTGGATGGTCACCATAACAACCGCTGGAAACGTGTGGGTTCTCCCACACCCCAGAGACCTGCCCAGGAGCAGAGGGCTGCCTCTCCTTCCTTGCCACTCATACTCTTGAGGGTTGAATGAGCCACTACACAGGGCACCAGATGCACTCCTGGCGGTCTTCAAATCTGCACTGAAAGTCCTAAGGCTGGTGGGCGATGTTTAATGGGGCGTTAGGACTATCTGAGCAAGGAGAGGAGCAGCTTCGAGGAACCCAGGCAGAACTGCAGGACAGAGGGACAGGCGTTCCTCCTGGTGCTTCAGGACTGAGTAGCATTATTTAAGCTTCCCTCTCTGAGGGCTGGAAGCCTCCAGTCCTGGGTTGGAAACCATTTCGAGGAAGGGGCTGGGCTAAATACCTCCAGAAGTTCCAAGCAGGACTTTCCCCACTTCGATGCCAAACTGGACAGCCAGAACTTGGGGATTAAAAATGTTATTAATGGATATGACAAAGGACTGGATCTTGCTAGCTCCCCAGTGTGGAGGAGTGGGTGGGAGGTGGGGGAGGGGAGAGGGCTATGAATGACTTGAGAGTTTTGACATCTGGCTAAATTGCTCTTTGCTGCCCTTCTCAAGGGGTGCTCATACCAGGCATTCCACTTGGAAGGGAAAACTGTTTGCAGTCACTGAGGGTCTGAGTGAGTACGCCTCTGGGCAGGACTCATGGCACATAAGCCCTGGTGGCCCCCACGCCCTGCTCCCCGACACTGGGGGCCCTGAGAACCACTCCGTCACGCCTGCAGGGCCGGCCCGCTGCAGGGAGGAGAATCAGCCCGAGCAGGAGCTCACCTCTTCTAGCGGCAGCTCCCTGAGCAGCGGCAGTGAGCTGGAGAGCAGCCCGATGAGGAAGGGTGTCGGCGAGCACACGATGTCCACCATGGCGGGCGGCAGCACCGGGATGTAGGTGTGCTGCCAGGTGAAGGGGTAGATCAGCGCCACCATCGCGTGGCAGCATTTGGACAGGGTGCTGCAGCCAGGGAGAGAAGAGGGAGAGAGGCTGGCTCAGCGAGGGCCCAGGGGAGCCCCCAGGGGAGAAGGCTCTTCCCAGAGGCAGGATGATTTGGAAGGTACACATGTGGATCGGGTAGAGCAAATGACAGTCTCAGCACAGGCCAGGCCAGGCACTTAGAGCTACGCGAGAGGCTTGGAGGCACAGCTACAGGGACGAGTTTAATGTCTTGGATAATTTTTTTTTTTTTTGAGTCAGAGTTTCGCTCGTTACCCAGGCTGGAGTGCAATGGTGCAATCTCGGCTCACTGCAACCTCCGCCTCCTGGGTTCAGGCAATTCTCCTGCCTCAGCTTCCTGAGTAGCTGGGATTACAGGCACGCGCCACCATGACCAGCTAATGTTTTGTATTTTTAGTAGAGACGGGGTTTCACCATGTTGACAAGGATGGTCTCGATCTCTTGACCTCGTGATCCACCCGCCTCGGCCTCCCAAAGTGCTGGGATTACAGGCGTGAGCCACCGCGCCCGGCCTCTTGGATAATTTTTACAAGTGTGCTTTCACATGTGAGCTATAATCCCCAAACCCTCCCCCCAGCCCACCTTTTTGTGAGTTATACTCTTGTAAGGTTTTTATTTATTTATTTTATTTTAATTTTTTTGAGAGAAGTCTCACTCTGTTGCCCAGGCTGGAATGCAATCATGAGGTCAAGAGATCAAGACCATCCTGGCCAACATGGTGAAAACCTGTCTCTACTAAAACAAACAAACAAACAAACAACAACAACAACAACAAAAAACTAACTGGGTGTGGTGGTGCATGCCTGTAATCCCAGCTACTCAGGAGGCTGAGGCAGGAGAATCACTAGAACCCGGGAGGTTGAGGTTGCAGTGAGCCAAGACTGCACCACTGCACTCCAGCCTGGCGACAGAGTGAGACCTGAGACTGTCTCAAAAAAAAAAAGAGAAAAGTTGATGAACAATGAAGATGAATCTAAGCAGATACCCCTGATATCAGGAGCCTATAATCACATTGTCATAAAAGTCTCCTGACCCCTAAAAAAAAAAAATCAATTAGCTCTGGCTTACTTGAGGAGAAAATATATGAATTAAAAGATGCTGGCAGGTCAGGAGTTTGAGACCAGATTGGCCACCATGGTGGAACCCCATCTCTACTAAAAATACAAAAATTAGCTGGGTGTGGTGCTGGGTGCCTGTAGTCCCAGCTATTCAGGAGGTGGAGGCAGGAGAATCGCTTGAGTCTGGGAGGTGGAGGTGCCTGTGGTCCCAGCTACTCAGGAAGCTGAAGTGGGAAGATCACTTGAATCTGTGAGATTGAGGCTGCAGTAAAACAAAATCATCATTGTATGTGATAAATACATGCAGTTTTTTTGGGAAACGGAGTCTCGCTCTATCACCCAGGCTGGAGTGCAGTGGCACGATCTCAGCTCACTGCAACCTCCGCCTCTCGGGTTCAAGCAATTCTCCTGCCTCAGCCTCCCGAGTAGCTGGGCCTACAGGCACACATATTTGTAAATTTGTAAATTTTGTATTTTTACACATACAAATTTTTGTATGTGTAAAATTCCTCAGCATTTGCTTGCCTGGAAAGAATTGTATCTCTCTTTCACTTACAAAGCTTATTTTGGCTGAATATAAAGTTCTGGATTGAAAATTCTTTAAGGATGTTGAATATTGGTCCCCACTCTCTTCTGGCTTTTAGGGTTTCAGCTAAAAGGTCTTCTGTTAGTCTAATGGGCTTTCCTTCATAGGTGACCTGGCCCTTCTCTCTGGATAGGCTTAATTTTTGTATGTGTAAAAATACAAATATTAACACCATGCCCAGCTAATTTTTGTATTTTTAGTAGAGATGGGTTTTCACCATGTTGGCCGGGATGGTCTCGATCCACCGGCCTTGGCCTCCCAAAGTGCTGGGATTACAAGCATGATCTACCGCGCCCGGCAAATACATGCAATTTTTATATGACAATTAAAAATAATTAAAAATAAAAAATATATGTACACATAGCCTTTTTCATTCCCCAATTTGGGGGCCCCTGGACTAATAACGGTAATATGGAATCTTGTTCATTTATCACCTAAGTCTCTTAACCTTCCTGTTCCCTGTCTTTGCAAATAATCATTCTCCTGATATACACTGGAGTCATGAAATACCTCTTAGTAGCATGGCATCCATGTATCGCACTGACATTTGGTCATTGCCTTTTCTTTCAAATGATCACCCCCAAATGAGAGAAACGCTACCCCAAGATTTCATTCTTATCACTATACTGTCTTCTTTATTAGCTGGGTAAGAGTAAGACATTGCATTTGGAAGATACCAAGAAAAAAAGAGAGAATAATGGTGTTAGAACTTACATTAAGGAGAGTAATATCAATCATTCACAGAGCTTAGGTTGAAGTGACTTCTATGTCTTTCTTTTCTTTCTTTTTTTTTTTTTTTGGGACAGGGTCTCACTCTGTGGCTCAGGCTAGGTGCATTGGCATGATCTCAACTCACTGCAACCTCCACCTTCCGTATTCAAGCGATTTTCCTGCCTCAGCCTCCTGTGTAGCTGGGATTACAGGCACGCACCACCATACCCAGTTAATTTTTGTATTTTTGGTAGAGACGGGGTTTCACCACGTTGGCCAGGCTGGTCTCGAACTCCTGACTTCAGGTGATCTGCCTGCTTAGGCCTCCCAAAGTGCTGGAATTACAGGCGTGAGCCACTGTGCCTGGCCTCTTTCAGATTTTAAAGGTAGGAAAAGTTTGCTTATACCCATTACTGGAGGTAGTAAAAAAAAAAAAAAAAAAGTAGGAAAAGTGAGGCTAAATGAGACTAAAGTAACCTCTGAATGTAGGGTGGGGCAGAGTAGGAAGAGAAGGGTCCTGTAGACTGGAGGAGGCAGGGCTGCGGCCCAGAGGAATGCAGGTGTTAGGAGACACCCTACGAACCAGGCACAGTGGCATGTACCTGTAGTCCCAGCTACTAAGTCCCAGAGGGTGAGGTGGGAGGGTCTCTTGAGCCCTGGAGTTCAAGTCCAGCCTGAGCAATAGAGTTAGATCCCCATCTCCGAAACAAAAATTACCTGTATATAAAAGGGAGGCACAGGGAGGATAGCCTATGTGGGTTTTGTTTTTTGCAATTATTGCAACAGAAAAACAAACATACGTTTGACTTTTTTTCCCAACTCAAAGAAAAGGCTGCCTGCCTTTTGATCTTCTTCTGGTCTCACTCCTAGAAGGAGGAAGTACAAGGGGCTGCTCCCTTCTCGATGCACTGCCCTAGGGACTCCTAGTTAAAGCCCTGTGTTGCCTGCAGTGGTGGGAGGCTGTGGTTCAGCTGCAGTGAGTGTGAACCATCTGGAGAAGGTCGTGGGAGCCAGGTCAGGAAAGATGACCAGCCATGCCGGTGCTAGATGCGGAGGGTGGTGGAGAATGTGACAGAAAGCAAGCCAGAGTCCACTGAGTGAACTGGGTGCATGGCGCTCCAGGACAGCAGTGTTCAGACTTGATGGAGCAAATGATGACGACTCAGCTGGGGAACCAACTGGCCACATGGGAGGTGCTGCCACTGTTTGTTGACTGTCTCCTGTAGCAAGTGTTGCTTTGAGTAGTCTGAGCCCACTGTTGTAGCTGCAGCGAAGGTTTCCGCACCTGCGTATCATGAACACCTCGTTAGCCGGAGCCCATGGAGCACAGGTGCTGGGGACAATATGGCAACAAGCAGGCAGTTCCTTGAAGGGGTCTCATTCCTCTTGCTCTCTAGCCCACATTAATGGTTTTTCTTTGTTGTTGTTGTTTTTGAGACGGAGTCTTGCTCTGTTGCCCAGACTGGAATCCAGTGACTCATTGAGACCTCCATCTCCTGGGTTCAAGTGGTTCTCCTGCCTCAGCCTCCCGAGTAGCTGGGATTACAGACATATGCTACCAAAGCCTAGCTAATTGTTTTTTTTCAAGACAGAGTCTTGCTCTGTCACCCAGGCTGGAGTGCAATGGCACTATCTCAGCTCACTGGAACCTTTGCCTCCCGGGTTCAAGGAATTCTCCTGCCTCAGCCTCCTGAGTAGCTGGGATTACAGGCGCGTGCCATCACGCTCGGATAACTTTTGTATTCTTAGTGCAGATGGGGTTTCACCATGTTGGCCGGGCTGGTCTCAAATTCCTGACCTCATGATCTGTCTACCTCGGCCTCCCAAAGTGCTGGGATTACAGGTGTGAGCCACCATGCCCAGCCCACACCAATGTTCTAAAAATAATTATAATCCTAAACACTAAAAGGAAAGGTCAAATTCTGTGCATAATTCCATGAGTGGCAGCTTTTCCCTCAAAATAAATGATAGAGGATGAAAGGATTATTATTATTATTATTATTTATTTTTTTTTTTTTTTTAAGACGGGGTTTCACCATGTTGGTCATGGCTGGTCTTGAACTCCCGACCTCAGGTGATCTACCCGCCTTGGCCTCCAAAGTGCTTGGATTACAGGTATGAGTCACTACACCTGGGCAGAAAAGATTATTTTGAATGGAGCTTGTCTTTGTCAATCCCTGATGCAAGTGGTAATGAGATTTTATTCCCTGACTTGTGAAGGCCAGAGGAGCCCTCGTGGAGGGGGAGGGGAGGTGGGCACTGCTGCGACTGGTTGTCTCTTAGGAACATGCTGATAGGCAGTGATTCTGGGGATGCTAAGGATGACTGGTCAAGAGGGCTTCAGAGCGTGGAGGTGGAGGGGCTGGAGGAGAGGCAGTGTTTCTGACGGCAGCCGAGGAGAGTCCTCGCTCGCAGCTGGCTTGCATTACAGTGGTGCGGAGGAGAGGCACGCCAGCACTCACAGCTGTGATCAATTGTACAAAAGTGGGGCAGGGAAGAGAAGGCCCCAGTGGGAGGTTGGCTGGGCTGCAGGGTTAAAAGTTTGGGCATGGGTGAGAAGGGTTGGGTCCAAGGATGTTTTGCTGTTGGGAGGTGGTTCCTGAGGGTTGGAGCAGTATTCCAGAACATCAGGATGCACTTGTAAG